CTTTTTGAATCATTTCATCATCACTTTGATTTCTTGAGAAGAACGGTGGTTCTGAAAACAGCGTCGTCACGGACAAAACTCCACCAAAGATAAGAAAGTGGGATTCCGGCAGCACGCCGAAGCGCGTGAGCATCGACATAGCCTTTGTAAGGTGGGAAATCGAACATTCTAAGACACATTGTCACTATGCTGGCGACGAAGAAAGCTCTTAGCTTCCACTTTGATGGATGTGAGGTTAAAGCCGCCCAAATACCCCACACCACTAGCTCGAAAGCTCCTATTGCATATATCACTTTCCGGTGAAGCCCTGTAAAAGTATAGAAAGAGAGAGAGACAACTGAAGAAAACCGCATTTCGTTTCATAATCAAAGTATATCCTCAAAAGAATCATGTACCTTCATCGAGGTTGTAGAAATTGAGGTAAAGAATATGAGTTGCTACAACCGCGAGAATAGGTGCAGTAACCATGATTTTGGCAGATTGATCGTGAATACTGAAAGACCGGACTATTGCTAGAATTAGCAAAAATCCGGCTAATACTGTAGCAGAGGAGTAATTTAGCCTCTCCGTCAATTCAACATCTCTATATAGCATAGTTTGAAGCAAAAGAAGAAATATATAAGTGAGAATTACTCAAGACGGATTTTGACATATCTACGTATATAGAAATTGGAGTGTTACCTGCTGTGACAGACACCACTCCAGAAGAGTGAATTCATTACAATGATGGCATAAATATGCAATAATCCGTTGTACTCGTAGTAAGTTTTCCGGTTTGACTGGAGTGGTAATTTATAGTAAACGAGGATGAAATATGAGACCCATCCATGGAATTGTATTGCAAGATCAAGAGCAGAGAAAGCAACAGAGACAGGTTCCTGAAGATTTAATTAAGAACACCATTGCTATATATGTTTCTTATAAGCTGAGAGGCTTGCAGAGATATATCGATTGCAAAAGAGGAAAGTTACCTGAATTCCATAGACATGTTTGAGTGGCCATTTACCGAAATACTTGGTAGGTTTCTCGCCGTTTCTTTTTCTTTCTTCTTCTCTTGTCATCATGCATTCGTACTGGCAATCACTTTGGCAATCCCATTGTTTCCATCGCAGGTAAAGTGGCTCTTGCATGTACCACGGACCGTCAATAGCTTTTCCATCGGCTGAAAATTTACAGTGCTGAAAGCAAGTATCCCCTACGCATCCAGTTTTCTGACATTGCTCAACACATGACCTGTAAACCAATCAGCGTTAACACTGCTTTGTTCTTAACGCAGCCTATTTATCGCTACTGAGAGCATTAGAATCAAAGCAAAAGCTACTAATACTCCTGCGCCTGAATTCACCTAACAACAATACTTTAACAAGGTAATGAGCAAACAGAGCGATCTTAGACTGAACCATCGTCATAAAAGTTTCCCAGGACACAACCATAAACGCTTATTACAACATAACCTGTCTCTTAGGTAACATCAACCGGTCTAGCTCAATCGCAAGAGTACCTATTTCACTGTCTTGGTAACAATTTCAAGTCTTTTTTGCATTAGGCTCATCGAGAAAGACTAATCTGTTTACATGGCTTACAAAGCAAACAACAGAGAAAATGAGAGAGAGAAGCTTCCACTCAACAAAAAAGAGAAACACCTAACTCTTCAACACCACTTGCACAGACCGAGTCCCTATAATTTTTAACCTTTTTAATCTTTCCAACAAAAACAATGACCCTACTGTTATAATGAAAGGCTTGTCCAAACACACACACAGATCCATTCATATCTTAACGTGTTCCCAACTCTCACCACAAAACCTATTTGGAAAAGTCAACCACATAGTTCTAAGCCTTCCCCACCACTTACCTCCTTAACACTCCTTTGTTTTTGTGGCTCTAACCCAACCCGCTTAATTTTCCCACCAAACCTATGAAATTCATTCATATCTTACAAGAAAAAAAATCTAACCTTTTGCTCCTAAAAGGGATCAAATTTCACAAAAACAGAAAGAGGATTTGCAAAGTTTGGTAATTCCACAATCATCGAATTCCACAAGTTGTGCAATTTGTGAATCTAACGGTCGACTCTCAGTCACAGTAATCCAAAACATAGCCTTGCATTTTCACATTTTCTTAGCTTTCGTCTGTAAAAACTCTTCTAAAAGCGATAACTGAAAACGAATTCTAGATTAGGAAATTTCTTTTAAAGTTTTGGACTTCAGATATGAAACCAGAAGAACAGTAAGCATGAATTAGAAAGAAATCGATCTAAAGAAATAAGTAGAAGTTTGCAGAAGACTTTACTTGTAAAGAGGATCAGCATCTCCTTCACTAGCTTCCAGTTTCGAAACAAGACACGAGACCACAACAATAAGCAAAACCCATCTCAGATTTCGCGCCATC